TTGCTTCACCAGGTCCAGGAGCCCCAACACTTCTCAGCTTGCAACCAATGTTTGGGACACAGGGCGGATGTGCAGCGGATGTAACGATCTAATTTGAGCAAATGCATGTTGTTGATGCGATCCAATGAGAAACATGTTGTTTCCACACATGCAGAGTTTTGATGTTTTTTGTTCGCTTTGACATGCGACTGTTTTTCCATGCCTTTCCTTTCATTGTTTGAGGCCCTCATGAATATGGAAGGCTTCAAAGAGCAGTCTGAACTCCTGGGTTCCAGGCCCAGCTAGCAGTCGAGGCCAAGGCACTTGAGGGATTCTCATGGAATTGTCCATGTTCTTTCAATGATTTGACCCCACAAGTTTGAGCCTTTTGATAGCCTTTTGTTACGATATCTTGCGAGAATGTATGACGATGCACGATAGGGATGGATATGGGACGATACAGGACGATAGACGATAGACACATGGTTCCTGCTTTATTTGGGGGATAATGATAATGTTACAGTTCAATTCCGACTTTGCATTATATGTACATTTAGTTGTAATATGTATATATTATATAATATATACATCTCATTTCTTCGTTATACAGTATACATGTGTGTATGTGTTTGTATATATACATGGACATTTTATTGAGAAAGTTTGGAAACCTCAATAATCAAAATGTATCTAATGAACTCATATCCCACCATATCCCATGGATGGTTTGGATTCTCACCAAGGTGCCCCCTTTGTGAAACCCAAGAAAGCCAAAGTCAAAGGCAGCCCCGGCAATGATTTGATCAAAATTCACAGGTCAGCATCGTTAGAGAATATATTCATGTATACATACATATATATACATATTATCATTATATATATATACATATGTGACCATATGTGTGTGTGTATTCGTATTCAACCACATTCAACTGCATTTGATTTGTTCGATTACTTTGCTTGAGTGCAATGACTATTTCTTGAATGCATTGAAATCGGACCATGAGTCGTCATTGGAAGGTCACAAAAAGCAGGACCAGGAGCAGGTGCTTAAAGCGCAAAGAGTCTATGTCACTGTCATCCCTGCCGGGTTTTGATGGTTTTATACTTATTTTGCTTGTCATAGTAGTGAATGGTTTTTACTTATTATGGTTTTACTTATTTTATACTTATTTTGCTATTTTGTTATTTTGCTATTCAGAAATTCAGAGTAGTGAATGCTTGTCATTGGTGCTTTTCAGATTGAATGTCACTAGAGTTTGGCTTCAGTGCGCAGCGCAAGGCGACAGAAAGGCGCTTTTCACGTGAGCAACTGCGACAGAAGCTGAGGAGCCCATAACTGCCATAACTCATTGAGAGAGTTCATACAGCTCAGAAGCATTCTACTGCGACATTTTGGGCCCAACAGCGGGCATTTCGCCTTGAGAGTGCCAATCCCCTAAACCATTGAGGGATTATTTTAGAATATGTTCGTTTCCAAGTCTGCTTTTAGATAGGCATTTCAGTGCTCTCCCAGAAAGCCTTCTTTTAGACGGGTAGTTTCCCAAGCACAGAACGCAGATCAAATCTAAATTTTAGACGTTAATTGAAACGCTAATTTTCCAAAGACAGAGATCAAAACGCTAATTGAAACCGTTCCTAAACAAAGAGAAACGCACCGTTAGAAAACGCTAATTTGAAACGCTAATTGGGGGCTCCCCAAAATTAGGGTTGTTGACCCTTTTTGAGCGTTTTTTGGTGGCAAAACGCTAAAAAGCATTGAGCAAAGATCAAAAAGCCTCGAGAACGCTAATTTTCAGGAGCCCCAAAACGATAGAACACTAATTAATTCTCAAGGAATTAGCGTTATTTCGAATTTTGGAGGCTCCAAAAATTAGCGTTGCAATTTATTAGCGTTTAACTTTTAACAATTTGCTTTTGTTAGCCTTGCGTTTCTCGGTGTTTGAGAAATAAGCGTGTTCAATGTTTTTTTTTGACGTTGCGTTTCTCTGTGTTTGGGAAGTTACCGTTTCAATTAGCTCTTAGATTACTTTGGTACGTGTTCAATGCTTCACTAGTGATGTTCAGGGACCACGTTCAAAACGTCGGTGAGCAAATTTCGATTCAAAGCTTTTGGCAGTGCTAGTTTCAATTTTAAAAGCCAACGGCACCTAACAGCTAAGTTGTTCACAATGCTATTTCAAAACGCGATCTCGAACGCTAAGTTGCTCACAACGTTATTTCACAGCACTGTTTCAAGCCCTTTTTTGGCAGAATATAATATAATATAATATATATATATACACATGCATACACATATATTTTTATTTTTATTATTGTTTTATTATTATTGTTATTATTATTATTGATTTTCCAGTGCTTAGCTGCCATCGGCACTCTCAACTTTGCCTTGATGAGGTTCTTAAAGTGTTTCTATACAGTAGCGTTTGACCATGTTTATTGAAACTGCGTTTCACTCTGCTTTAGCAATTTTCAGCATGTCCCAGCATTGCACCAGTTGAACACGAAGGAGCAATGCCTTGCATGGCTGGATGCCTCTTCCTCCACCATTGCGGACAGAAACCCCCAAGACACGAGGCTCCTTGAGTCGCTATGGGAGGCGGTGTCTGTCTTGTTGGCATATCAGATTGTTTTCCACAAGCAGTTTGGGCACAATGCCGGCAACTCATATTTGTCTAAAAGGCCGGCAAAAGCATCCTTTGAACCTTACGATGTTTGAGACTTCAGACAATGACTTTCCAGTACTTGTATGTACTTGTTCAAGTTCTTGTAAGCCGTTCGCTGTGACAGTGCCCAGACTATCCCAGACTACATTTGCAGGGTCAGGAGTTGAGGAAATGGGGGTTGAAACTTGGATTCCTATGGATTCCTTGGATGTGTTGAAACATGTTCAATTTGAACCATATTTGAACCACTTGTCTAGATGAGCGCTCGGAAAGTTGGCTGAAGTGGTGGTCTCACGAAGAAGGACTGCAGCGACCCTTTTTAGAGATTCAAAGAGGAAATATGTCCAACAGCCGCGGCCTTTGTAAGGATCAAAGTTGAAATGTTATACTGCATATAATATACGTATATTTTATATATACATATATATATATATAACTATATATAACTATATATATATGTACTTATACAAACCTCTCAATACCTCTTAGAGGAAATCCTGGGCTGTGGTGTGCAGGCGCAAGCAATGCAACCTATGAGTAACCGACAAAATACGGGTAGAAAGTGTCAAATTGTGGGTGCAAACTTTCACAACCAATAGGGACCACCGACTTTGGCCATGTCCATTGCGAGTAGTACTTTTTTTCAACCACTATGGCAATCACAACTCAAAATGTGCTGCTTGCACGCTTGAGGAGATGGCTTAGATCGGCGAGTGTCTTTGCTGAATTGTGGCGGTGGATTGGAATCCAGCGATGGGTCCCCAAATGCTGGGAGGTTGCGACATGCTTGAATAAATTTGAGTAATTAACCACTGGCGCTCTAAAATGGAAAAAGAGTGCATGCAGGAAGAAGTTTTCTAGGACTTACTCTGGAATCAGCTCAAAAATTGTCAATTTCCCCTCAAATTATGCTCCCAAGCCGCCGTTTGTGGCCAATACGTGATGCGATCTGTCATATGCGCAACTGAAGAAATGTGATGTGTGTGATGCATGTGATGCGTGTGATGTGTGTGTGTGTGTCTGTCTGTCTGTCTGTCTGTCTGTCTGTCTGTCTGTCTGTCTCTGTCTGTCTGTCTGTCTGTCTGTCTGTGTTAGACACGTAAAAACTTCTCAGAACATATTGTTTGTCATCGTTCACCACCTTTTCCAGGAAATCTCACTGATTGATGACACAACGATGAAAACACTGCCCAAATTGAGAAAACTCCTTCCAGAACAGGATATCAAATGAAAATGTCCATGACTTGGTCAAAGAGAAAAAGACAGGCATCCCTGCGCCTTCACCCAGGAAGCTTTTTTTCAGAATTTGCCACCCAACAAGCTGACTCTCATGGAGGTGCTCAAATTTGTCTTGCTCAAATCGCGACAATGGTGATTTCTTCAGCTTTGAATCTTGTGCAATGGAACTCAGGGACTCATTCTCTCTTCCCTGTGTTGAAGCGACTAACAACTTGTCCAGAGATCCCGTTGGCTAGTCTAATAGCGTCAGACACGAACGCATCAAAATGTTAAGATCAGCGCTGCTATTGTTTTCTTATCCTGTTGGGGGCACGGTGCAGATGGAACTGCGGGATGCAATCATAGACTTCTTGGAGCAGAGGAAGTCAGAGGAGTGCCAAACTTGGCGGTATGCAGCACAGGTCAGCACAGTCACTCAGTGGTCTCAGTGGGTTGAGAGCTTGACATAGCTTGACATAGCCGCGGCTGGCTTGATAATCTTGGACATAGCTTGACATTGACAGGTGCGGGATCAATCAAGAGCCGATCAGCTGCTGATCAGCTGATCAGCTGAAGCATTGTCCATTGGCAAATTGGCATTCCATTAGCTGTTTTTTTTACATGTGTGCCTCGCCTTTCGAGCCAGGACAGCCCAACCTGGGATGAGATAAGGGTGCAACCGATGGTTGTTGAATGTCCAGCGCTCAAAACAGCTCAAAACAGCCACAGCGCTTCTCCACGTCTCGATGCACCAAGCTTTTGCGAAGACCCATCAAAGAGAGTCTGAGAGGTGAATGCTGAAAAAATTGTCAAGGCAACTGGCAAAAATAACTTGATAACCAAGCAGGCCAAGCCTTGTCAAGCTACATCAAGCTGAATGAAGCTACATGCACATCACATGATATCACATGCATTCTTGCGTAAATGTGTTGAGCACGTGTTGTGCGTGTGAGATCGTTGCCTTTGTTGGAGGAACTTCCTGACAATTCCTGACAGCAGCCAAGGTACGAAGAAAGCCCTGCCACACTTTGTCTCCCTCGAGGACAGCTTTCAGGTCACCATGATCAGTGCAGAGATCAGATCACCGAATGGACCGAATGGAGGAGTGGTTGCACAGACGCCAGCGTTTGTCAAATCATGGAATCATCACCTGGCCACCGCCACCACCACTGTGGAGACTGGAACCTACAGAAAGGCAAGCTACTTGGGCTTGAAGCTGTTCTTCATTTTTATCATTTTTGTTCTGTATTGTTCTGTGATATCTTGTGACAACTTGAAACAACTTGTGACTGTCATGTTTTTGGTGCTTGTGGAGCTGCTTCTCCGCAGAGGTGGAAGAAGGACCTACCGCCTGAGCCATCACCAGAAGCTCATACCAAGTGTGGGACGCAGTTTTTTCGGACGGCTAAAAAACCTCCCACTTTGCTGAGGCAAACGCCCCTTTTTGGTTCCAAGGTTTCAACGCCGAGACTCCACCCAACGGCGCGGCAGCAGCGTAACTTGTCAGCATGAGAAAATAGGAGAACAAAATAGGAGAACAAATATATATATATATACATTTATTTATGTGTGTATATGTATATTATATTATATTATTATATTATGCGTTTTTTTGTTTATGCAGACAGGGATAGTCAGGCTTAGCATTTGGACATCCCACATCCCAACGTCACTTCAACTATAGACTCAGGTCTTTGGGGTGAATTTCCAAGTGACTGACCACGGCCAGATCTTCGGGGTTTTGGCAGGTCGGAAAAGTTTGTGTCGATTTATTGTGGGCTGTGGCAGATTGGAAGATCAATGGATTGGTTAAGGGAAAATCTACAGGAAACCATCGATTTTCCCATTAAATATGGGGTTTTCCCGTAAATTTTCCCTTAAACCAATCCATTGAGAAGAGGGAAACAGACATTTAAAACAGCTTTAGCACTGTCTCAAAGAGCTCTCGAGAGAAACGTTTCGGGTTACCACGCGGCTTGCCGCGTGACCCGAGTTCGGGACGATTATTTTCTGGGGAAATCTTAGGAAACTATCACATTAATGATGACATTAATGATGACATACATATGTTTATTATGTTCCACTCACCCATTCCAAGTTACCAAGTTCATTCTGCATTCTTATCATCTGCCAACTTTACGCCTGCTCTGTGTTAAGCTGTGCTGTGAAGGGTGCTTTACCTTGGCGTATCACGCAACACTCCCCTTGCGGATGGGCAATAGATTGGACCGAACATCGTTGTAAATGCTTGGCTTTTCGCGATCGACAAATATGATGTTCGTAATCACAAACATGTTGCTTCCCAATTAACACAGGAGAGGTATGACTCAATCATGAAGCACTTTTGTTTTCAATATATATATATACGTATTTGTATGTCTAATGTTGAATGAATGGGAAAGGATATGCACAGTGACACGCGCAAACATGCAACCCTCTAGAACGATGGAGATCAAAACTATTACATTGATGGTTTAACATCTACTTTGGTCCTTCACATCCAATGCTGGACATCTATTCACCTGACCTTCCAGCTTGAAACTTAAAGCCATGTCAATTTTGAGCCTTAAGCTCCCAGGGCCTTAAGCTCTGAGTTGGATCCTTAGCCTCCCATGAAAGGTTAAAGGCTATAATCTATTTGGAAGAAGTACAATGAAGCGAAAAATCATTGATGAAAAGCATATTCCAACGAATGGATGCTCACCATCAAACATCATGGCTCCTTTGGAGGTGGCTTTCGTTCTTAGCCATTTTTTTTTGGCGATCGACAAATATTCTGTTCGTAATGGGATAGTTGCTGTCTGCCTGGACGGGGTCCTCAACTGCTTGAAAGCTCTTGAAAGCTTCAAACGATGTGGTCATGTCGCGCGGACAGGCATGAAAGATAAAGCGTGTGTACAATCATACACATTGACATGTATGATTATCTAAAAATATACATGTGTTTCAGGCATTGCTTCTGAAACTTAGCTTGGAAACGACGCACCTTCCTCAGCAAGGCCATAGGTAATGGCAGCAAGATTCCTGAACAAATCTTCTATTTGTGTTTGCGTCACATCGACATATACTGATGCTGAGCATCCGCAGCATCCACCAAACGCAGGCGATGAGGAGGCTGTATGCCAGGAACTTAGTTTATCTTAGTGGCACTAGACTAGAGCAGCAAAGTTTAAAGAGTATGGCACAAAGTTCGTGTTTCTTCATATGCCACCTATTATCCCCATATATCCCCAGACCCCACTTTGCAGAATTTACCTTTGTTGATATTTGTTGCGTCTTGGAATTTGGAAGGTGAATTGCCTTGGCCTTGTAGCTCTGTGGTGCCAGAGCAGAAGAACTTCGGCTGGATAAAAAGCTCAGGCCTGCAGCAAGGTCGTGCCCCTTCGAATTCGGGGTGGTGTTATCTCTTAGAGCCATGAAATAAATCAACAATAACATGAGTAGAGATGAGTCGAGTTTCAATGTTTCAGAATTTCACTCATGCATTTTCAAATTCACCGCTCAGCTTTGAAACTATCAATAACTATCACCTGTAAAGCAGCAGCGCCAACTTTCACAGTAGAACTGTGAAGACTTGTGAAGCTTCAAAATTGAATGTTGACACATGTTGACACGCTGCCTATGTGGCGCGTGTACAGAACACTGGCCAGCTGTCGGTGCCGCAAATTTTGTTTAAGAGCGTGCATCTCGCGTACAGAAATGTACAGAAATGCAATAATTATATGTAATTATTGATTTATTATATCTTATATAATATATATATATATATTATTGTATCTTATGATTGACATATCATATCAATGACCATGTCTTGCAGATGTCTTGAAGATTGGCCCCCGCGAGTTGCAGAGGCGCTCGGGGATGCTTGCCTTCTGTTGCTACACACGGCAACATGACTGTCGAGGCTGAGCTTGGGACCACTTGGGATCTGATTCTGAGATAGATAGCTAGATAATTATGATAGATATTGCGATGATAAATATCATAGTATCTACCGTATATAATTATGATAGATATTGCTATATAATCATGATATTGTGATCATAATTGTTTATAACCATATCATTATATTTATGATAGATATACATATATATATACACAATATATAACAATATATTGCGATGATAAATCTTTATCATTGCAATCTGCGATGCAGGATGTAATGGCCTGGCGCCTTTCGCATCGGTGAGCTCAGACGGATTGATTACTTGACATACCCGGCCTGGTCAACGTTTACAGTTTGCGACATAGAAAATGGCCATAGACACCATAGAAATGGATTGGTTTAAGGGAAATTTTACAGGAAAGCCCCATATTGAATGGGAAAATCTATGGTTTCCGGTTAAGATTTTCCCTTGAACCAATCCATTGACCATAGAAATAGTTGATTTACCCATTAAAAATGGTGATGTTCAATAGTTATGTGAAATTACCGGAGGGTAATGAGGGTAAGTGCAGATATGAATGCTCTGCAAAGTGCTGCAAAGTGTTGCCGTGATCAAAATGGCAACCCGGAGTAGGCACCAGATGGCCGTGCCCAGATGCTCCCCTTTGCCTTCCCCTTTGCCTTCTTATCCTTTTGAAAGCAACAGCAACGGCAACATCGGCAACAACATCAAATGCAGTTTCGGAAGTGAAAGGTACCCACTATGAGACTATCCTAACTCTACCTGGCCATTTAAGAGGGCTGAACATGACAACACTGTGACCGGCACCAAGCACCCTTGCCTTGGTGGTTGCACCATGATTCACGGAGGTTTCGGCAGCGTAGGGTGGAGCCAGTTCTGCAGAGCATGTGGCAGGTCCGATTCCTGTGGATATTCGGTCGATATTCCTCCTTAATAATTACTGGTTGGTGGTTTCAAAATGTTTCAAACATTTTTTCCATAATAGATGGGATAATCCTGGACAAATTGACTAATATTTTTCAGAGGGGTTGAAACCACCAACTATGTTATCATATGTTATCAGCTGCTTCACTTTCCTGTGCCAGTTGGCAAAGCGTCAGGCGCTCGCGAAGCAGAGATTACCAAAGACTTGCAAATGCGCGACTTGGTGCATGGAGATTTGCACATCGCAAGTCGCTTTGGGTTCTTTGTCATCTTTGCCATTGTTCCTTTTCATCCTTGCACAGTGTTGCCAACTACTGTCAAATGTGCATACCAGGAGCATTGCAGGGGCACTTTGCAGTATGAAATTACATTGGCTAGCAGTGAGTGATAGTGAGTAAGGTTGCGAAATCAGCCTGTCGGCTACTGTTTCAAAGAAACATTGCAGAAAGGCTTGATCTAGGAAAAGCACGCAAGCTTGTGCAATTCCTGTCGCGGCGAATGAGATTGCGCAAGCCTGTTTGAAAGGCCACGAATGTGGACCATGAACAGCTGCGCTCAATGTGGCCAGTGTACAGGTGTGCCACGGAACAAATCCCCACGTGCGCAGCCATGGAAGAAGCGGAGCCAGCCAGGAGCTTTACATTGGAACAGATTCAGCGCGTTTCTTCAAACAAGGTGCTATTTTAACAGTTTAAAACATATTTATATAAACATATATAAACGTTTAATCCCTTTGGCATAAGATTCGGTCCTGACACATTCGTTTGCAGATTCATGTTGTGATCCTTGTGGGTCTGCTTGAAGGCCCATAAACTGCAGTGAGCAGATGTGAGCAGCATACCCTCGGCACAAGCCCCAAAAGGCTCAAAAGATCTTGTCTATTGATGTCTATCGTCCGTCTTGTTCAAAAACGTTCGAAAACTTGCAGATAAACAACCATACCATGCCATACCATACGAAAGCCTGTTTTGGCACATTCAAGTCCACTGCTGTAGCTTTCCAAGCGTGGGGGTGTTAGTAGCAAATGAATAGCATTGAGTCCGCAAGGTGGAACCAAAACCAAAGGGTACATCAGATTGCGTATCATAGCAATTGATTATGCCAATCCGCGTTTGTTTCGTTTGTCTTCACTATGATCAAATATGATCTATGAAGTTGTAGGGATTGGATGGGGGTCATCTGCGTTCTTTTGTGGTAGATTCAGCTTGCACCGCCACCAGTGTACAATAGGTATGCGTAGCTCAGAGAGCAAGAGAGCACCCTCTCTGGATAGAGACTTGACATATCTTGACATAATGTTATCATAACGCCTGCAACTCGCTGCAGCTAAGCAACCGCCAAGTGCGAGAGGATGACACTGCACAGATGAGCAGATGTTAGATGTTGACTCAGCTGACACTGCGAGAATGCTGAGCGGAGAAACGCGGCGCTTCGTCGTGGATCCTGGTATGAGCTAATGCATAGGAATGAAATGTAATGAACTTGTAGGTGCTGGTAGTGTTTGTAGTCACCTACCACAATTCTCCGTGACGTTTAACGCGAGTAGGTCAAGAATGGGTGTCTTTCAATTTGCAGGCTTCCTTGTACACAACGCAAAACATCATATGTTTTAAAGATTCAAAATTCAATCCAATTTTTTAACAACATGTATATATAGATATATATAT